AGAGAGGAAGAGAGAGAGAGAGAGAGAGAGAGAGGAAGAGAGAGAGAGAGAGCGAGAGAGAGAGAGAGAGAGAGAGAAACAGAGACAGAGACAGAGTGGGAGAGAGATAAAGAGGATTACTAAAGGAGCTGTGCGCTGATTAAAATATGTTCTTTGTACTATTGTACAGCGCATTGAGCACTTCTTTGTGTAAATGCGCTATAGAAAATACAATTTATTATTATTATTATTATTATTTATATTCTCAGGTGGAAAGGAGAAAACAGGTAGCGCATAAAATATGTCAAGGAGATTGTGTATAACTGGGAGCTAACCCTATAGTAAGTTTAAAAAGAAAAAGGTGGGGGGGGGGGGGAGGCGGGGCAGATCTCTTCGTCACCCAGACTCCTTTGACACACAACTGTCTGGGAACTGAGCACACTTGCAAGTAGCGTCTGCCGTAATGACTACCATTGATGTTACGCCCTCCCAAAGCGTCACACAAGAGTATCCAAGAGAAAAATCATAAATTTGTTACGTACTCACCTCTTGGACGACTTATAGTTTTCAGAAAAGAAATTTGCAAAGGTAGAGGAGATTTATTCTGGATAAAAGACAGTTCAGATATGTCACAACCGACAGCCAACTTTCAAGCCAGTCCTTTTTCTGGGCCACGATCGCATCTGATTCTCATTACTCAGGCCAATGATTATAAATACCATGATAAGGCAATGCGGCGAAAAGCGTGCGAACTCACGAAACTCCCGGGGGGAATGTCTGCGCGTCAACCGACGGTCAACCGCTGACCTGCTCCCTTATCAGCGCGCACCTGGTGCGGGAAGTGCGGCTCGTTGTTCCATTGTTAGAGGCCATTAAAAGCTTGAAATATGTTGGTTTGAAGGTGAAGGCTTGCGGGTGACCAAGGCCCATACAACCAGACGGTTTTAGAACACTAATCTAAGTGTCACCCCCGAAAAGCCTTTTTTTTCATCATGAGGGTGATAAAATCACAATCCTCTTTGATCCTCCACACTTAATTAAGAATTAGAAACAATTTGTTGATCTACCACAATTTATGTAGGCCTACTCATCATGATGATACTGCGAGCTGGGCAGTTATTGAAAATTTCTCTGAAAAAGACAGTGCCTTAGTTTTATTCAGGGTGGCACCCAAGGTAAACAACTGTGTGTCACGTTTTGGACGACGCGTTTGTTTGGCTGTGCAAAAAAGCAAAAGCAAATAAATTGGGAAACTACATAAATATATATGTATCTCTGAATTAATCCTTTGTCTCACATCGCTATATCTGATTTCTGTAAAGACTGATGATCCTTTCAACGTTTTCATTTGTTCACTTGTGTCATTCTCTGTCGAATATCGTAACCCAGTAACCCAGCAGAGACTTCTGTGGTTGAACGATAATTCTTGAAGTTTGGTCCAGAAGACAAAACGAAAGTTACAAAAGCATTACTATGAGTCAGTGAGTGGATCCACAACATCACTGCTTTGCAAGGTCCTGTGGCAGACATTGTGAGCTGCAATGGAGGATTACTTACAGTGATATCAAGTTGAACTTGAACATCTGTTCTCAGTCACCATGAGAGGAAAAGGTGGACATATCTTGACAATCCAGACCCCCCCCCCCACACACACACACAACAGTTACATTTTCGTTTGAAGAGACAGATAATGGCCGGCAAAATTATGATCGCCTTCAAGCAGTTGCAGGGATGTAGTTGATAGCTTTCTGATCAATCAAAATCTAACGAGTAAGACTTTCAGTAAAACAATAGTTGCAATTCCGGAAGACCTTTATAAAAAACACAGATACATTGTTAATTTTGTTAAATTTTACAGTACATTAAAAATGCAATGCACTTAAAAATGAAATTTCTGACGTAAGTGGAAATACTTTGAAGACGATGTAGTCTGCAAGGACTGTACAGGGATATTGGTTTCCTCATCTTTCCATGCAAAGCACCTTACCCTCATCAGCCAGAAACAATTTGAACATTGTCGTCAGGGTGGCTTGAAAAAGCCAGTTTTAAACTTGTGGAATTTGTTGGTTTCTTTGAAGCTGCTTTTATTTAAAACGCATTTTAAACCTTTGGTGAACAGAGTAACAGTCGCACAGAAGACAGAATCTAAAGCTAAAAACGCCCCAGGAGAAAAACGTAATTGAAAACAAAAGTGATTCCTGCAAATGCAACAGTGGACTATAAGTCAGTGTATTTATTAACGTCAGACTGCACGATGATCTTTACTGTGCTGTCAAAAATTCGTGGCGCAACTTGTCCTCAAACATACCTTTAACGGGTGAATCAATTTAACCAAAACTTTGCACAGCAGTTTGTATCAATTTATCTTAACGTATTCATATTTTTCCACAACAATTTAGGCTATATTTAAAAACGTATCTTCATGAATTTATATAAAATACTAAAATGGGGCCAACTGGTCACCCCACAGCTCGTGTTATAGTAACACTGCGTGTGTTGTGTGAGCTCATCAATGCGCAGAGCGACGCGCGAAGTCGCTGACCTCGATTCTCCGACGATGCATGCACTAAGGCTGAAGGAAGAAGGATTGCACCGTCTCGCTATTTACGGTCTCTGACTCAGGCCGCCCAAAGCAATCTAAACAAAGAACATCGTACAGCTTAGGAAAAGAAACCCCTTACCAGTTTCATAAGTGAAAACGAAATAATATTGTGTAACCAGGAAACTGAATATTTTGTGGTGAAAAGAAGAAGAAGAAAAAGAAGGAGAAGGAGAAGGAGAAGGAGAAGGAGAAGGAGAAGGAGAAGGAGAAGGAGAAGGAGAAGGAGAAGGAGAAGAAGAAGAAGAAGAAGAAGAAGAAGAAGAAGAAGAAGAAGAAGAAGAAGAAGAAGAAGAAGAAGAAGAAGAAGAAGAAT